CAGCGTCGAAGCGAAGCTCCGCCGCCATCAGGAACAGTCCGGTGCGGTGCAGGGCAGTGCAACTAGGTGGGGCGCGGTGCAGTGCGGTACAGTGCGGTGCAGTGCGGTACAGTGTGGTGCAGTGCGGTGCAGTGCGGTGCAGTGCGGTGGAGTGCGGTGCAAAGCAGTACAGTGTGGTGCGGGGCGGCACGGAGCAGGGCAGTGCAGGGCGGGGTGGGGGGAACCGTACCAGTGAGGAGGACAGGGCCGGGGCTGGCGCGACGGGGCCGGGCGGGCGCGACGGGGCCGGGCTGGTGCGACAGGGCCGGGCGAGGGCGGCAGGGCAGAGCCTGTGCGACGGGGCTGGGCGAGCGGGACGGCGGCCGGGCGGGTGCGACGGGGCCGGGCACGGTGCGACGGGGCCGGGCTGGCGCGACGGGGCCGGGCTGGTGCGGCAGGGCCGGGACGGGGCAACGGGGCCGAGCGAGCGCGACGGGGCTGGGCTGGGGTGACGGGGCCGGGCAAGTGCGGCAGGGCCGGGCCGGTGCGACGGGCCGGGCGAGCTGGACGGCGGCCGGGCGGGCGCGACGGGGCCGGGCGGGTGTGACGGCGCAGGCGGGTACGACACGGCCAGGAGGGGCGCGACGGGGCCCAGGAGGGGCAGACGGGGCCTAGGAGAGGCGCTACAGGGCCAGGAGGCGCCGAGGCCCAGGGGGGCGCTACGAGCCCAGGAGGGCGCGACGGGCCCAGGAGGGGCGCTACGGGCTAGGAGGGCGCGAGGGGCCTGGGGGGGGCGGGGGGGGGGGGGGGGGGGGGGGGGGGAGGGGGCGCGACGGGGCCCAGGAGGGGCGCTACAGGGCCCAGGGAGGGCGCGACGGGGCCCAGGAGGGGCGCTACAGGGCCGAGAGGGGCGCGACGGGGCGCAGTAGGGGCGCTACGGAGCCCAGGAGGGGCGCGACGGGGCCTGGGAGGGGCGCGACGGGGCCCAGGAGGGGCGCTACGGGGCCCAGGAGGGGCGCTACGAGGCCTGGGAGGAGCGCGACGGGGCCCAGGAGGGGCGCTAGGGGTCCTGGGAGGGGCGCGACGGGGCCTGGAGGGGCGCTACGAAGCCCAGGAGGGGCGTTACGAAGCCCAGGAGGGGCGCTACGAAGCCCAGGAGGGGCGCGACGGGGCCCAGGAGGGGCGCGACGGGGCCTGGGAGGAGCGCGACAGGGCCCAGGAGGGGCGCTAGGGGGCCTGGGAGGGGCGCGACGGGGCCTGGAAGGGGCGCTACAAAGCCCAGGAGGGGCGCTACGAAGCCCAGGAGGGGCGCGACAGGGCCCAAGGAGGACGCGACGGGGCCTGGGAGGAGCGCGACAGGGCCCAGGGAGGGGCGCGACGGGGCTAGGGGGGGTCGCGACTGGGCTAGGGGCTAGAGGGGTGAGCGGAAGCGGTAGGTGGGGAGGGATCCTACCTACGCGTGATACCGTAACAGAATTGTTAATTGAATGTTAGATAGAAGAGAGTACACAAGGATATATCTCAGGGTTGTACCCTCTAAGAGACTACCCTATACAGTCTATACAAACATGACAAGTACACATGTTTGACAGATTCCTCATTAGCAGTTGCTTGGTGAAGTTCTGGCCTCAAAAGTGCCCATTACAATCCAAATTCATTTTGCATTTTACATAAGACATGGGCTTTATATTTTTCCAGCCTACTGTTAACACCCATACGTTTACTTTTAATGAAATTTTGACAATACCATAGGGTGTTATATACGGGGGAATACGGTGTCGCAAGAGCTAGGTAGCTAGGAAGCCATGAAAATGGCGAGAGGGTTTAGCTAGGAGAATGTTGACGAGAGAAAAGGGGTCGAGAATAGAAGAGAGAGGGATACAAGGAGGGGGGTTGTACCCTCTACAGTAGGTTTCAGTAACACCTACCAAGCCTACCAATTATATAAGATATATATAATTTAACACAACCCCTAGGCTTGGTAGTAGAAGAACCCACACACACCCACACCCCCTAACCTAGCACCCCCATTCCCAACAGCAGCCACGACTACTCCGGCATGGCCAATCCCCGGGGCCCGTGAGATGGCAACAGCGGCAGCGGCGGCAGTGACGACAGTGGCGGCGGCGGCGGCGTGCGGCGGCAACAGGCCAGTAGCAACAGCAGCGACGGCAGCGGCTTCGACGTCAGAGGCGACTGCAGCGGCCCCCGCCCTCTCGGCGGTGTGGCCAAGCTCCGCGACGATGGGGAAGACCCTCACGAGTTAGGCGTCGGCTGTGGCGAGGAAGAGGGGACGCAGGGGAAAAGGGAGGGGGGCAGAATCACGCCCCTGGTAGGCGAGCGGGCGGCAGGTCTAGCGGTGCCACATGCGTTGCGCGGCCGGCTGCCACCCGACGACGCTGCCACCGCAGCATTACGACGCAGCCACCGCAGCATTACGGCGCCGCCATAGTGCGGTGTCGATGCCACGGCGGGACGTCGATGCTGCGACGGCAGCACGACAGCGCCGTCACGCCGCCGCGGTTGGACGTCGACGCCACGACAGCGCGACGCCACGGCAGCGCGTCGAGACGGCCGCAGCACGACGACGCCGCCACAGCAGCACGACGCGGCCGCCACAGCGGCACGACGACGCCGCCACAGCAGCACAACGTGTGAGAGAAGGAGTGCGCGGCGGAAGCGTGGGGAGCAGGCCCGGGAAGGGCAACCTGCTCAGATACCATGTCACAAGAGCTATGTAGCTAGGAAGCCATGAATATGGCTAGAGGGTTTAGCTAGGAGAATGTTGACGAGAGAAAGGGGTCGAGAATAGAAGAGAGGGATACAAGGAGGGGGTTGTACCCTCTACAGTAGGTTTCAGTAACACCTACCAAGCCTACCAATTATATAACATATATATAATTTAACATACCTAGGCAGGCTACAAGTATACCAAGGACTAGGTGTCACAGTGAAAGGTTAAGGTTCAGGCCGAAGCCTAGATCCATGTCATCTCGCCCCTGCTCCTGCTGGCCGGCAGGTGGCGCTGCACCAGTAGCTGGCGCAGGCAAGGGGCCAGCTGCTGCTGCTGCTACACTGCGGACAGCTATTGTCTCTACAGAGTCCTTCGAAATGGGAACACTAGACGAGCCTACAGGCTGGGAATCCTGGAGGTCAAACACAGGGAGGGTGGAGTGCTGGTGCTGCTGCTGGAGCAGCAGCCGCTGGTGCTGGATTAACAATTGCTGGTGCTGGAGTAACAGTTGCTGGTGCTGCTGCTGCTGCTGCTGCTGCTGCTGCTGAGCCATGTGACCATGCTGAAGCTGTAGTGCTTCTAACGAAGGGGAAGACCAGTTACCAGCAGCAGCAGCAGAAGCAGCAGCTGCCGCAGCAGCAGCAATGGCTGCAGTTGCATCAGCAGCAGCAGGGAAAGTGTCCCGTGGACCGTGCTGCTGCTGCAGAGCCTGCATAAGGGCAGTGGTGGGGAGAGAAGGGATGTGCAGGGAGGGCGCAGGGGCAGTAGGCGCATAGGGCAGTGGGGGGAGAGGAGCGGTGTGTGCACTGCCATGGCACGTAGAGAGGGGTTTAGCATGGAGAGGGAGCGATGGAGGGGCGCTTCCATGCTCACACTGCGATGGGGCTGATGGGGTTGGGAGTGGTAGACAGCCATGGGGTTCCACTCCACTTCCTCACCGGTTTCTCCTTTCTTCTCCCCTAACTGCTCCTGCCGCACCTGCTGTTGCTGCTGCTGCTGCTCCTGGGCCTGCATCCTTAACGCACTCTCCCTTGCTCCATCTCCCCGATTGCTCCCAATGCTGTGCTGGTTCAGCGCTTGCGAGCGGCCATCACCTGCTGCTGCTGCTGCTGCTGCCCCAGCCCCTCCCACCATCGCCGCGCTCCCTGCCATTCTTGGAAGCCCTCCAGGTGACCCTAGGCCCAGCAGTCTGCTTAGCACAGGCTCTGCTGCTGCGGCTGCTGCACCCCCGCCTGACGCTGCAGCCGCAGCCATAGCAGCCGCCATCACTGCTGCCGCTCCCACGTCCTGGCCTCTCCCTCCCGCCCCACCAGCAGCACCAGCAGCACCAGCAGCACCAGCAGCACCAGCAACAACAAGTGGAGTCAATCCTGCCACTGCCCCGCCACACCCTTTGCCACCTCCCACCCTTCCTGCTCCCCCAGCCGCCACCGCTCCTCGTGCTGAGTCGCCAGGAAGGGGCAGGAGAGGCGGAGTGAGGGAGGTCGGGGCGGCCATGAGAGAAGAGGAGGCGGGGGCGGAGGCAGCATCACTGAAGGTATACCCTGAGAAGTTGGACCGGCGCCTCTTGGTGTGCGCAGTCATGTGTCCGCCCAGCGCCTGGGCGTTGTTGAACCGCATTCCGCAGTCCTTGCACTTGTACCCGTCCTCGCTGCACCACAGCTTTGGCCGGCTCCCTGCACTCCCCCCTGCTCCTGCTCCTGTGCTACCTGCACCAGTCGCAGCAGCCCCAGATCCCACTTCCCCACCAGTAGCAGTACCAGCAGCAGCAGCAGCATTGCCTGCTGAGGTTTGCTGGGTGGCTGTTCCTGCTGACGCTGTCTGCTTGCACCGCACACCACTCCCACTGCCGCTGCCCCCACTCCCCCCTGCTGTCCCAGCTGGTGCCGCCGCCGCTGCTGCTGCTGCTGCCGCTGCAGCACCAGCAGCGGCCAGGGAGAGGGTCCTCCTAGGCGCTAGCCCTGCACTTGCATCAGTAGCAGCAGTCGAGGCAGGACCTGGAACAGGGGGGGTTCTAGCCCTCGCGAGCGCTGCAGCTGTAGCCGAGGAAGGATATCCTGCCTGCGGCCTCCTCGCCTGCTGCTGCTGCTGCTGCTGCTGCTGTGGGTGCGTGGTATGGGGTGCTGGTTGAGGCACGGAGGAGGGCGTTCCAGGCCATGTCAGCCCAGACAGCCCCGCACCTCCTGCTGGCCCCATGCCCCCAGACGCTACCGCTGGTGGTGCTGGCGATGGCGGTGGTGGCGGCGTGGTGGCAGTGGTGGCAGGAGAGGCTGAGGGAGGGAAGGGGGAAGTGGGGGGTTGGAGCGCCAGGGAAATGTATAGATGGGAGGAAAGTAGCTGGGGCGTTGGCAGGAGGGGCGGCAGCTATGGCAGCAGCATGAGAGGCGGCGATGAGAGAAGCCATGTGGTCGTTCCACCACGCTGGTAACACCGCTCCCCGCCCCCGCCGCCTCCAGGGAAAGTCACTTTCTGTTGCCTCTGCTGCGGCGGCTGCTGCGGCTGCTGCAGGTACTGTTGCTGTTGCAGGTGCTGCTGTCCCGTGTTGCTGTTATGCGACGACTCCTCCCTGCCTCTCGCCCACATCTCCCGCTCCCCCACCCTTGCGCCGCCCACGCTTGCGCCTCCTGGCTCCCTTGCTGCCACTTGCCGCCCCCGCGCCTGCTGCTGCAACCGCGGCAGCCGCCATCGCTGCAGCAGCAGCGAGAGTAGCCGCCAGAGCTTCCCGGTTACCCGCATCTTTCTCCGCGCCCGCGTGCGCGCCCCCGTTGTCCGCCACCAACGCTATCCCCTCGCTCCGCCCGGCAGGAAGCCTCCGCGGGCCCATCCAGCTCGCGCCCGCGCCCGCGCCAAGCGCGTGCGCAAGGCTTTGCGCAGCCGAGTACGCCGCAGAGGACGCGGTTGCGGCGACGGCGGCCGGCGCGACGCTTGCGGCGGTCGGGGCAGTGGCGGAAGCCGCCGCGGTCCATCCTGATCCCGGAACCAGGAAAGGCGCGCCCGCCGCAGAGCCCGCCGTCCCAGCAACCGCGCCGGCCGCCGCCGCTGCAGTCGCCGCTGCAGCCGCGTGGTGCGGGGAAGCGCTGTTAAAGCTCATGTGCACGCGGTCCCTCTGCGTGAGATGCCCCGCGGGCGCGCGCGGAATGAGCATCAGCGCACCGGGCGAGGTCCGCCCAGCCGCGGCTGCTGAAGTGGCAGCAGCAGCAGCGAGGGAAGCGGCGCTTCCGGCTGCGGAGGCGGCGGTCGCTCCAGGCGCGGTGACAGCAGCGACTGTAACAGAGGCGGAGGCAGAGGCGGATCCGGCGTGCTCCGGCTGTAGCTGAGGCGGCGAGGCCAGTGGCAGCATCATCTGTAGCCGCAACGCGTGCTGTACGGCGGCGGCGTCAGCAGCGCCTTGCAGACCTCGCGCAGACGCAGCGGGGCGGCTACGGCGCGTCTTGTTGCTGATCGTGTCGGCGCGGCGGAACGCACCCTCCCCCATCATGCTTCCCTCTGACCTCCCCGGGTCGGTCAACGACCCTGGGCCGTCATCGCCGCTGCGCCGATTAACCGCGCTGTTGTCGCCTCCCCCTTCCTCCGCCTTCGGCACTCCCCCTTCCCCGCGCCGCGGAACGCGCGATCGAGCGGCGCGAACGGCAGCAGCTGCCTCTCCCTTCCCTGCACCTCCTCCTCCCTCCCTTCCTTCGCTCCAGCGCCCTTCCGCGGAGCGTGCGGCGAGGAAAGCACGGCGGAAGCGCCCTTCTCCGCGGGCATCAGGAAGGCGAAAGTGCGCGCGCCCGTCGACTCGGGGTGATCCGCGGTCGCCGAGGCTCCACCGACGCCGCCGCCGCCACCGCCGACGGCGGCGAGCGCGCCTTCGACGGTATCGCCGGCAGAGGCCCAGATGGAAGAGGAGCCGCGGAACCGGCGGGCATGATCTAAACCCGCGGGGGGGACAACCCGCGAGTGCGCGTGCGCGTGGGCGTTCCTAGCTCCAGCGCGTGGGTCTCTCCCGCAGAGGCAACGCCGCCGCCAGGCGCGTAAGGGTACGGGGACAGACTAAGAGGGTCCGCGAGAGGGGTGGACGCGGTCAGCGAGAGATGCTGGGGCGACGGCAGCTGCGCGGGGTGGCGGAAGTCTGCGCTCCGGCTGTCGCGCGGCTCGTCCTTCACTGCCTCCGCGGCGGAGGGGAAAGCGACGGCTCCGGGGACGGCGCGCGGTCGCTTTTTAGCGGGCACCCCGTCTTCCCCACGCCACATGCCTGCGGGCGGCACGGGGGGGAACTTCACGTGCGGGAGGATGCGGTGACCGAATAAAACCGCGCCGGGCCCCTCGGGAGCTGGAGTCGCGACCGAGTCGGAGTCCTCGCGCTTGCGGCGGGACGAGCCGCAGCGCGCGGCGCTGGCGGCAGCGGAGTGGGTCGCCGTCTCGGCGGAAATTTCGCAGAGGAAGCGGCTGATGCGCTGCCGCTGGCTGGTCACGTTCCGCGACGTCAACGGCGGCGGGCGCGGCGGGCAATGCGGACGATCCAGCACTAATAGGTCGGGAACGGTGCCGACGGCGCTGCGATGATTGCACGTAAGGAACGTGCGCGATGGCTGGGCGGGAACGAGGGCCGAGGCGGAGGATTCGGGGGAAAAGGAGCCCGCGGAGGCCGCGGAGAGAGAGCAGGCTGGAGGGATTTGCCGATGCTTGCTCGCACGCGCCGATAGCGGCGCCGCGCGCGGAGTAGCGAGAGGATTGCTTAAGTTAGGCGGATTACTATTGTCTGCCATAGAAGCGCGCAGCCAGAGGCAGTAGCAGCGGCAGCGGCGGCAGCGGAATCGGATTCTTCGGCGACACTTTGGTGCTTTTGCGAGTACGCGTTGATTGATCCAGGGTGACTGCCGGCGAAGTGGGCGAGAAAACCTGAGCTTCCTTGCCAGTAGTAGTACTGGTGCTGGTGGCTAACAGAGCGCACAGCACGGCGCGGGCTGAAACGGAGAGCGCGGAGCGGCGGCAAGACGAGCGAAAACAGTGGGGCCGTGTGACTTGACGCGCTGATGGTTTCGGTTCTGAGGAGAAGGAGCGAGGAGAATTAGCAGCGCAGAGTGAAGGACCGACGCCGCCGAGCGCGTAGGACACTGAAACCAACTTGAAGCGAGAGTGAAAGGAGGAAGGTACGTGCGCGAGAATTGCCGGCGTCGCATGGAAAACTGACTCGACAGCGGGTAGAAGAAGTGAGGGAAGAGCTATCGCGCAAGTGCGGAGGAACGACGGCGACTGTACGGGGGAATAAGTCACCATGAAAGCCTTGCTGCTGTACTGCACTTCACGATGGCGGTTGATGGTTTGTGCTCTGGGCGATTGCTAGCGAAACGATGAGACAGAGATACTAACGGGCTAGTGAAGCGGTGGGTGAGGGCGTCGTCACTCTAATAGCCTGGCATTAGATGGAATGGACTAAACCTCACAATCCTACAGCCTTACTCAGTCTGCACTAGTCTGTGCAGTGATTGACACGTAGCACCGCCAACTGGAGATTCACTGAGGGCCCGCACTGTATGGGTAAGAGTGTCTCTCTCGGGCATGCTCCGTAAGAGCAGGACGAGAGAGAAATTGATTCTGTTTAGGGACCTTCCCGAAGGCAGCCAGCTCGAAGCGCTGCCGCCAGCGTGTACAGTGCAGCGTGTAGTGAAGTGAAGGCTCCCCTGTCCGAGCTGGAATCAGTGCACGCGCTTTCCTGGCTTATCGCGACAAGCCAGCTCCTTGCCAGTGGTTTGGGTTGGCCTGGGCGCTGGAGCTGGCTGGCAGGCATCAATAAGCTGGGCGTCCGACATCGCCAGCTCGTGAATCACTCGAAAGAGCGAGCAAGGGGTGGCGTTGGGTTTGGGGTAGGGAGGAGTCGGGACTAATTACCAGAATTGTCATGGACACACTCGTAATTTTCGCGGTTGAGATATGAATCCGGCTTTTATAGGCGTTCCCTTGTTGCTGCTAAAGGATGCACATCTCCTTGAGCAAAGTGCTTCTTTGCGGGTGGGAATATTGAGTAAAGCGCGAGAGGAAGGGGGTTCGGAAGGAGGGCCATGGGGCTGCTCTTCCAGTCTCATCCGACAGATCTGCTGTTACTCCAGGTTGGCACACTGGGCCACCCGATAAGACAGAGATTGCGGGCCGAAGAAATTCAAAAAAAAAAAACAGTTTTTGTTACAGGCAGTAGCCACACTGGGTGAACCAATGATAATCGCGAGCACGTCCGGCAATCATTATGAGCATTCCAAGGGTACAATCGATGCTCACCCAATCCCGTACGCAGCGCCTATCCCAATCAGAATCACTTTTCAAAACCTCGGATTTAGGGTCAATGTGATAATGCATACAACCACATCTACACCGCACAGCTACCGAATCCACCACATGTTGATGGAGTGTGGAACGAAACGACCACACAATTGCCCGTTGGAACCTGTTTATTGACCAGACACAAATATCTTGTTACAAATTCCACGTTTCTGTCCCATTTGCCCGTGGCGAAGCATGCGAAATGAAGAGCTCGACCTCAAGAAGTGTTGCCCAAGCATCCGCTGCCAAAGAACCTGCGGCACAATGGGGAAGATTTATTGTGCGCAAGAAGTTTCCTGCACATGCTCAAATAAATCCACATGGTAGGGTAAACCCCTTCACAAAGATGAATGATTACTGCCCATCCCCCGCCAATCGGTTGGCCAGTCCCCACCGCAGATATCACACCGCAGAGCTCTGCTGGGATTGCACGCACGGGACGACATCAACAACAGCGAGCGGTAGAATTAAGCAACCGATTTTCTTGTAGCAGGAGCAAGCCACTCGGGTCAAGTGCCATCTCTGAGTGTCACAGATGGTACAGTAAATCTAAAGTACACTGACGTTTTTCAGCAGTCATTCGTAGCATATTTGCGCCTTGTCGTGTTTTGATAGTCATACAGTACTGCCAAATCAATGTTTAAAAACCGGGGAGCTTTTGATGCAAAACCTTGTGAAAGGACCTGGCATACTCAGGCCTGATGCAGATTCTCCAGAAATCTCCAGGCTGTGACATAGGATCTGATTCAAATTGGAACTTGGCAAGAATGAATCAGCGTACTAAAATCCTGCACCGTGTCAACTCTACCGACAATGGAATGCGAGTCAGGGAGGGACCCTTGGATGGCATTGCGGATGACATGACGCAAAAAACCTCTGACTGAGGTGCGTCTGCAGCTTCGTGTCAGCCATTCGTGTCACACCATAGGCGGCATTGATCTGGACACATCAGCTTTTTTCTATTTGTTACCCTCAGGGCTCTCTGCAGTCGAGTACGTGACACTAACAGAGGTAAAACGCTGCCTAAGTGCGACAAAAAACAACCGATCAAGTCGAGCTGAGTTGAGATGGTAATGAAGAACCAAAATTCATGCGAGAAACACGGTGCAAACATTTTGGGAAGTGAAGAACGTTTTCCACAATTACGCGGTGCGCAATGTGTACAGTGCATCACACAGACCACTTGTTACTGTACCACTCTCAAAGCGTGTCCAAAGTGGGATGTTGACGGATGTCCACGGATGTGGACCAAACACACAAACTTCTGTCGTAGTTTCAGCGTGGTTCTGTGCGATTAAAGAACATTTCAGATACAGCTATTATTTTGAAGAGCACAAAAATCAGCGGGCGGAGTACAGTTTGGAAACTCCCCTCCCCAACCTCCATCCCTTCTTGTCTCGCCATCATTTCACGGCACGGCTGGCAGCTTCGCAGGGCAGAAAGCCCAATGCAAGACCAGGTGCAGAGATTTTTCAGGCTGGATATCCCGATGGTGCTGTAATCATGACGAATCATTTGATAAGAACATCAGTGGTCCCCGTAGATCTCACTATTGCATGGCTGGAGGAGTGCAATGATAACCCCGCTTTTCAGTAGGTGAACAGACCCAGTCTTCACGGATTCTGCGATAATTTTTCACCAGCTGAAACTCAATGCATTACTAAACGCTACAAAAACAGAGAACATGATAAAAAATTGTACAGCAATAAAACAAGAGTCTCACGCTAGGTATGTTATCACATTCATTCGAGATGCGTGACCCAAATGTGGCATCTGCTGAGCCTCTCCACCCCCATTCTTCTGCTTCTGGTCTAAGATCTGCCAAGCTTCTCTTTCCGCTTCGTACCGAACTATGTCCTTGTTCAAGGCAGTTTGAAGTTTGCCTTGTTCAAAAATTTGAAGTTTGCCTTGTTCAATTATTCTTTAATACTCTTCTCTTGTCCTTGCCCCTATATGGTTTTCATTTGTTCCTTCCTTCCTTCCATTCCAGGTCATCCAAATTGCCACATCATCTGTTGGAAATACCTCAAGGACTTAAGCGTTTCTGAAGTGCAACACTACACTCGAGGAAAGTCGTAACGGGTACGCGAGTCAACGGAGGTTACACGAGGGGGTGGACAAACACACGAAAGGACTCGAAGGGTCGCAACCGGAGGTTGCGACTGACCGTTACAACTGCAAGGACGGTAACAGAACCGACAATCGAGCCGCTGTGCGACTCGATAAACCGCTCTTTCAACTGTGTTCTACAATTGCTTTACTTTCCTAATTTCTATATATTGCTGTATGCTTGTTTTCTTTAATCAATCACTTGCTCTCACATACTAGTGCAAGGGTTCAACTACTCCAACTTCCGCTGCACTACTCAAGCATCTTTTACAACTGGGACTTAGTCTCTGGAAAGATCCTAAGTGCATTTCTCAGCCCAACATCGTATGAGAGCTGGTCAGAGACCAAACTCCCAGCAACTACGCTCTATTTACAATCAGCATACCAACGACTTCATTGATTACAAGTCATGGACAACAAGGGCAAGAAAACCTCTACGGGCTCACCCAGTGCCCAAGACACTCAACCCGGCAACTCTGGACTGCACACTTCAGGACTGCAAACCGAGATCGGCGCTGCTCAAGAAACAACAGGAAGAGCACCAGAAATGGTGACCCCATTACCCTCTTCAGCGTGGACCCAAACCTCATGGAAAGGTTCTTCAGCTCCATGTCACACTTCGACCAGCAGCAGCAGACAAGGACACCTGCGCATTCAATACAGAGCAACGGAGGAAATGGGATTAGCGTCGATGAGTCTCGACAACTCATCATTCGGGCGACACAATCAAGCGCCTACCTTTGCGCCTTATCACTCTTCACCGGGGACGTTCGAGTTCATGCCGCCCCGTGCCCAACCAACAGCAGCTGCATCACAACAGACACCAAACGAGATTTTAAGTCTCCAGGCGCAGTTTTCGCACGTGATCAAACTGCAGACATCCTCACCGTTTAACGGACACGACTTCTTTACCTGGAGCTTTGAGTTCGAGCTGCTGATGGAGGCTGCGCATCTCTTGGGATACTTCAACGGGTCCCTGCCATTCCCAAGCAACGGCACTGCGAAAAACCAAGAAATCTTTACGTATCAGTCGCTGCTGGCGTACACAGTCCTCCTGTGAAACCTGCCACCACAAGAGCAGCAAAGCATCTGAACGTATCGAAGCTATGGAAACTCCGCGGAACTCGCATGGCATCACCTCAAGTGTCTCTATCAAGCAAACGACAGCGTGACACAAAGCAGACTCATGCAGTAGCTGACAACAATACAGATGAAGACCGGAGAAAAGGCGATGCAGTAAATGAGTCGCTGCCAGACACTCCACGACTGCCTGCTTCGGTGCGGAGGAACAATCACTGAAGAAAGCTTCGTGACACTTGTCCTCGCTGGGCTCGGGCCAGAATGGAGAACCACCCGCTCGCTTCTTCGCGCCCACGGACAAATCTCGGAGATGCACCTCTGCGCCGAGCTTCATGCTGAACAACAGGAGACGGACCTGTTTGAAGAAAGACAACCAAGGAAACAGCAACCGTTAGTTTTCTACACTCAACGAAGGAACGACAACAACTACAACCGACGCGAAAGCAAGATCAACGTGACAAAAGAGGACTCACCATTGTGCCGCCGTTCTGCCACAACTGTCAAACATCCGGACACTCCAAAGTCAACTGCACACGTCCCCGAGCTTATCGTCCAGTAGACCCACAAGTCGCTTCCACTCAAGAAAGCCCGCCGAGGCATTCCTCCACATCTGTACAAGGCACACCTAACATCATCAATTGCATGGTACACATCGACAACTGCGCACCCGGATCACCACCCACTTACGCTCCAGACGAAGAAGAGCTGTCGCCGCCGCGCTCACAAGGACTTCAGGTCAACCCAACGTACGCTGCAGTCGCCAACGCCGATCCCACCGGGCGAAACACTGGGTTCTTGGACAGCTGTTGCAGCCAACATATGTGTTCTTCCGAGCGCTACGTGCAACGAGAGCGACGTCTCAACCGTGATGTCATCATCACCGTCGCCAACAACGAGAATATGAAAACAAAGACAAGGCATCGTTCAGCTTCAGTCAATGGAGACGAACGTCATACTACAACTCAACAAAGTTCTAATCGTCGACAACTTGGGATACAACTTACTCAGTGTTAGCCAGATAATGGCAAAAGGGATTCACCTGGAATGCGACTCGGA